GTTAATTTTAAATTTGGATAATCTCATTTTAAACCAAACACAACCAAATAGAAATCAAAAAAGAAAACAAACCTCAAAAAGCATTTCCAAAGACCCCTCATGATATTTTTCCTTTGATAGTTCCTAAAACTACCTCTTTTTAACAGTAGTTCACACTTTAAAAACATTGTTTATTTTAATGATTATGTTGAAATTTAAAAGAACCATAGACTTTTACTGCATAAGAAAGCTTTAAAAAATCATCATACTAAACTTACATGATGCATTAATATAGACTTAATTTAAAAAAAACTCCAAAAACTCTATCTTTGTGTATGTTTTCAAAACAAGGCTCAGAACTAGAAATGTATTTACTTCAGAGAAGGTATGTAGAACACACAGTGGCACAGGAACCAAAAAGTTCCATAGCTTATGAGGAGACATTATTTACTACTCTAATTCATTAACACTACATAAACTCAAATTTCCTGTGGATTCAAATTGTAGCAGATATTTTATGTTTTTTCCTCTACATTAACTGTTGTTCTAAAGTGCTATTGAGTTCACTATGATTCACAGTGACCTTAAGAACAACAAATCTAAACCTTGCTCTGTCTTGTGCCATCTTCAACATCTCTGATATGCTTGATCCCACTGTGGCAATCACTAAGTCAATCCATCTTGATAAAGGGCATTTTCCAAAGACTGTTCTCTCCTAACAACATGCTCAGAATATTGGAAGATCAAGTTTTACCATCTTCACTCTTCCCACTCTTTCTTATGGTACAAGTTTCACATGTACATAGAACGACTACAAATAACCTGGCTTGGGTCCTGAATCAGGAGGAATGTTATATTATATTCTTGCTCTTTAGCACTTGAAATAATTCTTTTGCAATAGATTTTTTTCAAATCACTGTCATTATTTGATTTCTTGAATATTGCTACCAGGGGCAGTGATCAGAGACTTAAGCAAATGAAATGCTCGACAACACCAGTCTTCTCTCCATATTTTTATTAGTCCATTTGTGAAAATATGCATTCTAAATAAAAATCGATACTGAAAGCTGTTATCTTTAAGATATTTCAATAAATGTGTATAAAAAGAGTTGCAATGGGGATGGCTATATCTGACCTCAATGGGGACCTGTCCTCATCAACAATACACAACCAATTCCCAGGAAGTCCCAACACACTCACATTCCCACACCTCTTCCTACTCATCTCAACACTAATCTTACTGTTATTTTAGGGGTCTAAAATCCACTATTATAGCTTACAGACCACACAGAATCATATTAGGAAAGTCAAAAGGCTTATTTGGGTTACTCATAAAATACACCCAGTCAATACAGCTTCCAAAATGTACTAGCAGGTGCCTCAGCCTTGACCCTTATGGCTTTAGGCCAGCATTGCAAAGCTCTAGGTCCTGCATATTGTATCTTCCTTTACCTTGCCCCTAGTTGTCTAACAAACTTGGGCAAAAGCTCCTAGCTCTGGTTCTGTGGGATAGCAGTCTCCAGGTCTGTTTTGTCTCATGTCAGATCTTTGGGACTCTGCTGCAGCTGCTAGGGCTGCTCCTCCTATAGCTTCTGGTCTGACTGGTGCAAGAATCTCTGGCCCAGAGTTGTTGTTGTTGTTGTTATGTGCAATTGAGTCGCCTGCAATCCACTGCAATACTATGTACAGCAGCTCTGAATCCTGCCCTATCATGAGCCAGTCTCACTAATTCCAACATACCTACAATGGCCACAGTCACTGTATCAATCCATCTCATCCAGGGTCTTCCTCTCCTGTGCTGTAGTGAGGTTCTCAAATTCTGCTGCTGGATTTGCTCAATTTAATGGTAAGACTAGTCAACCTCCTTATTGATTACTGAGACTAATCTATCTTCTTGTGGATAGGTTAAAACACCTTATTCACATATCCCCACCTGTTCACATGGCAAAGTCAACCAATAACAATACCAGAACACTTGGTTGTACTCATCCAAAACCTTTACTTGACCAGGAAGCAGTCCTCAGAACAGACCAAGGAAACACTGAATGGTTCAAAATCAGAAAAGTGTGTATGTGATATACCCGGTCTCTATACCTTTTCAATCTATATATAGAACTGATCATTTGGGAGGGTGGTCTTTAAAAGGAGGAATGTGACATCAGAATTGGAGGAAGAGTTATTAACAACTTGCATTATGCAGATGTCAATCTTGCTCACTCAAACTGAGGAGGACCTGAGACATTTGCTTCAGAAGGTCAAGGGCTGCAGTGTTTAATATGGATTTAATCTCAACTTTAAGAAAACAAAGATTTTCATATACTTGATCAATTGATAACACCATGATGGATGGAGAAGAGACTGAGATTGTTAACAATTTCTGCTCTTCAGTCCACAATCAACACTCCTGACCCAGCAACTGGGAAATCAAAAGACACACTGGATTGGGAAAGTATGCTGCCAGGGACATCTCCAGAGTGTTGAAAAGCAAAGATATCAGTCTAGTGACTAAGGTATGCCTGATCAGTGCCCTGGTCTTCATAATTACTTGCTATGCTGCAGAGATCTGGGAAATGAATCAAGATTATGGAAGAAGATTGATGCCGATGAGTTGTGGTTCTGGAGAAGAGTATTGAACATACTACAAACTCCAAAGAAAACAAATAGGTCTATCTTAGAGAGGGTGAAGTTACTCTCCTGAGGCACATGTTGCCAGGAGGGAACAGTCCTTGGAGAAGGACATTGTGCTTGGAAGGGTGGAAGGGCAATGTAGGAGAGGAAGACTCTAGATGAGATGGATTGACACAGTGACTTGGTAATGGGGACATGTGTGTTGGAGGCATGGAGATTGGCTCAGGTTAGGACAGGGTTCTGAACTACTGTGTTTAGGATCACGATGAGTCAGAGGCAACTCAAAGGCACATAACAACAACAACAACAAAATGCCATGTATTTTAGGATAGAGTAGAAATGTCTGATGGTGTATGCAAATCTGTCATCGTTACAAGAAGCAGATGGCCACATCTTGCTCCTGTGGAAGGATTGGTGGGTTTAAACTGCTGACCTTTTGTTTAACTGCTGAGCACGTAATGACGGCACCGCTAGGAATCCTTTTATCTTAGTCATTATTTTATACACGAAGTTCACAGGTTTCACACAGTCCACATGATTTTATAACTTCAGGGAAAACATGCTCTTTGTTACAGAGGCATACAAAGCCTGAGAGCAATTCTCCTTCGAGAGTGTTGGGAGACTCCTGGCTGATGCATGTTACAAGTTGACAGAGTATTTTTGTTCAATATTTGTTCTGTCATCTGCGTGTCCTTTATGTTTTTCTGCATCAGTGAGGCTTGTGTCAGACTGATCATTCTCAAAAGCATGGCTTGAATCTAACTTTGCCACAGTCAAATAGTTTTAATGTACTTCCTGGCAGGGCCAGAGATGATGCCTAAGCATGTTTAGCCTGGGGCAGATGGTAGAAGATCAGAAGTAGCATTTGGCAGCTGTGGGGAATCTAGGTTCGGGAGGACTCAATGACAGACTCAGGTCCTGACAGTGTGGAAGGGAAATACAGTCAGTATTCTATGTGCTAAAAAAGTTCAATTATAAAGGGTACCTTCCTGAAGGTCTATCTCTGCTTACACCTATGCCTATGTGAATACCTGGGTCTGTGCTTGTATCTAAGTTAGTCACTAGTGCATGGTTTTTGGCACACAAGAACCCCATCTGACAGAGTTAAATTTCCCTAAAGGGCTTTCGAGGCTAAAAGAAAATTTCTTTATGGAACCAGATCTTTGGGTCTTTTTTGTATGGAGTGGCCAGGTGAATTCAAACCTCAACCTTTCATAAAGCAACCCAATGCTTAATGGTTGAAGCACCAAGGTCTCTTCATATATCCATTTTGCTATCTATCACAAGAAAAGGATACATGATTTCACGTTTCCTTAACTGGAGTCTACATTTAGTCACCAAAAGACACCTAGGAATCTCTCAATCATTTCTGTTCACAGAATGGAGCTAGCTTTTTTTTAAAATTTATATAAGAAATATTGTTGTTGACTGCTGTCAATGTCAAGCATAACTTATAACAACTCTAAAAACAAAAGGCTTGAAGTCTTTCTATAACTATTTCATTTTTCTAAAGTCATAGAATTTCCACAGGCATGTTGTTTAGGATGTAGATGCCACTCCTGCTTCCAAACTGACAGCAAAGTAAATTTAATATGTATCTCAGACCCTTTATATTGTTGATGCATTATAAAATCAGAAACCTAATATTCTGTGTTATTAGGAAGCAACACGAGTAACTTAACGCAAACATCTCAATTTTTTTATTACTTTCAATTTTATATTCCCTCCCTATCACTCCCATTGCCTTCTTATCAGGAAACTGGCTAATTTACATTCTACTCTCTCTCCTTGACTCAGGCAGAAAATCTGAAGTAGAAAAAGAAGAAAGAACTGCTACATGATGAAATAGCAGGAATTAAATAAAAGAGATTTCTAACTTTAACAAAAGTTAAAGAACAAATAAAAAGTAGGAATGTTGTCCATGTAATTGTTGTAAGCCTCTGAATTTAATGAAGCAGAATATATTTGGTTACCACCAGCATTGATTATAAGGTCATCTTAATATGCTTATTTTGAGGGCTTTTTAAATCATTCCCTCTCCTTAATTTATTTTTCCGTTAATTTCCATTCTCTTTTAAAAAATGTATTTTGGGATGTTCAGTTTTATTCACTGTATTTCAACACTTACATTTCTTGACTTTAATTCCACAAACAATATAAAATTTTCTTAAATCACACCTCAAATTTTAAAATCATCACAATAACTTAAAACTCTGCCTTCAGTTACTTTAGTGCACTGTCTACTTGAGAGCTAAAATATTTTACATATTAAAAAAGGGAATCAAAATAAAAATACTATGTAAATAAATAAATGACATATATTACATTTGCTGATATCATAAAAACAAGACTAAAAGTGGATGTTTTCACGTGCAAAAGAGAATTAGTTGTACCTGTGATTTCGAAGTTCAAGTGCTTTGGTTTTACCACTAATATCATAAATGAAATGTTGCTGGGTAATTATTATCCTATTTTCTGCTGTTGTATTTCCCAAGATTGTGATAACAGGATAACCCATCTGGAGGGTCCACTGATCCATCACTTCTTGTATATTTACATATTTTCCATTCCTCTTTAAAGCCTTTATAACCAAAAGTGTATAAATTAGTATTATAACCATGAATTCTAAACATAATTATTATTAAACCATTTTATTTTTACCTTTACAATTTGCTTAAATATAAAATGCTTGAAATCAGTGAAGCTAATATGATGTGCTAGTAAAATTAATCTTCTCACCTTATGTTTAGCTTCATATATATATAAAGAGAAATTAAAGTTTTATTAGCATTAAAAGTTTTTCCATAATAGAGTATAAAAAAGATTTTACTGCTAAACTAAGTACTCACAGCATCATTAAGTATGCCTAGTGTGTCTTGTAGGCACCTTTAAGTATTTTTCATTCATAGAAAAAAAATCTTTAAAATTTCCAGTGTTTCTTGCTTTACCATGAGTATCTGATTTAACATATTAAAATTATATTTCAGGAGTATTATTACTCTTAATGTAGGCAAAGTATCTTTTACTACAGTTTGTAGCTTAAATAAATATGAACACAATATCTTGATAATACATAAAAAATTAAGCAAATAAGTAATATGGAAAAGGGAGAAAACCACAAAGTGAAAACAAACTGTTAGTATCCACAAAGTCATAAATAATTTAAAAACCCAATTCAAACATTCAAGTAGAGGTTTTGATACCCACGCTTTCTATACTTTACCTCTGATAGTGTATTCCAGAGATCTTTTCTGGCTGCATTACCATATTTATGAATGGTTAAATAATCCTACAAAGGATACATAAAGTTGCAATTACAATTCAAAAGCTAAGCAATTACCTGTAAATACCCTCATTTCTCAATTTATTTAACCAATTCTATTTGTCTGAATTGCATTGGTAAAAGGAGAATGCCTCACAAACATTAAGAATCTGATTTTTTAAGATATTCCAAAACATTTTACCTATAGCTTATGTCCTAATGAAGTCATCAAACAAGCCATTAAATTATTTCGCAAAGTTTATGAATTTCTAAAGGCTTTCTAAAGATTTCTAAAAACTTTCCCCTACTTTGTAAAGTCATGTCAGCATATCTGGAAGAAAAACTAACGCTCCCAGCAAAATATCTAGAGGAAATTCCTTGTGAGACTTATATAAAGAGGTATATTAAAATAAGAAACATTTTTTTATAAAATTAAAACAAAACACTCCAAACTACAAAACATTCATACTGTTATATGTCAAAATTAATTACTTTGTTGGCTATATAAAAAGTTATATATCAAGAATGATAATACAGTAAAGAACAAGTGTGCTTTATTAACAAGTTTAGTTATATATGGGGGTTTTTTTGGCTTTTTGGTTTGTTTCTCTAGTATTCAGCTACTGAGTGTCCCCATGCCTTTTATTTAGCCATAGGAAGCAAAATGTTTAAGAGAAAGTGCTTGGCAAAAGAATGATGACTGTCTTCAGGACTTCTCTTAGTGTCTCTGTTATGGACAGTATGTCTATACAAAATTAATGAATACAGATATTTATGAACATTTTTGAAGGAAGTTTGTTTTTATTTTCATTGTGATTTTAATGAAAGTTTACAGAAATGTTGGAATTTCATTCATTCACTGTGGCACATTTTCTTCTTTCCCCCTCCCTACCCCCTTTCCCAGAGATATTTTTTAATTTTAAAAACACAGTATTATTCAGTTATAAATAATGCCTAAATGTATTTAGTATTTCTGGGCTTAGGGCTTCCCAATCATTAATTAAGTCTGTACACCTTTCTGTTTCCAGCCCTTGCTTTTTTCTAAGCGGCATGGGTATTGTCACTATAAATGTGTCCTTTAGGTAATGAAGCATGGGCAATTTCTTCCTGCACAAGTTACTACCTCTGAAAACCCAGTGGAGGGTCAGCTATGAGTCAGCCCTGATTTGACGGGGCACAATAACAACAGTGAGAGTTAAATTTTTCTGATTTCAAAACAAAGAAATTAAAAGAAAATATGTTATAGTGTAAAGCAAAGTCTACTCTTTTCATTTTAAATTTTCTCTCTCTACACCATTATAACATGTAGGTAATAGACAAAAAAAAATCTTCATTTGCATCATAGTACTGAAACAGGGGAAAAAATGCTGACTCCATTCAAGACTTTATGTAGAAGGAGATACTTTGGGAATAATTAAAGTTGGGGAAGCAAATTTTATGAAATACAAATTGTAGCACCTGTGACAGATTTGGCTTTTGTTGGCAACTCACAGCACAACAAATGACAACCCCCACTTAATCAGAAGCTGAGAGAAACAATGTCCAAAACAGACTTAGCAACCACAAATAATTGTCATCAAAAGGTAGTTACGAATAACTTTACTGGAAAAAATGTACCCTTGATTAACCAATCAGAATTGGAATTATAGCTTTGGACAGCACATCAAAGACAGTTTCTATTTGAATATTGAGAGCAGGATTTAACTAAGTTATTTCAAATTTGGCTGTCAGAATTTTTTTCAAAGCATTCTTTATTATGGACTTGAGTAAGTTTAAGAACATTGAAAATTAGGAAACCACTGCCAAGATAACACAAATAGAGTAGCAAAGGAAGAGTGAAAAGGCCTTGAAAGAGTCAATATATAACCAGAGGCTCTTCCTTGGAAGGTCATAAAAACTCTAGGCTGTCCAATTCAATATAAGCTGGCTCTTAGTTCAGTTTTGATCATTAGCTTCAAATCTTTATTTCTTTCCTAATCTGTGGCCCTCTGGCCTGGTTTTAATTGGTTTTGGTCAAACATTCTTCTAAGTGGTATAGCACTGGTCTGTCAATTTGCTGTCCAGTGGTAGGTACCTCATGGTTGCTGTGATGCTAAACACTAATGTGTCAAATGTGATAATGGTTACCCATGGTGGACAGTGTTTGGTGGAGTTCCCCAATTAAAACAAGCTAGGAATTTTCAATAAATATATGAGACCTGTGGTGTAAAAAAAACAAAAAAAACAAAAACAAAAAAAAACCACAAACACAACAAGCTAGGAAGCAGAAGTGGCATCCACTTCCAAAATAGCTTGTCTCCAAAGACCCTATGAACCTGGAGAAATGATGAAAGTTATGCAAGTGTTCAAGTCTTCTGTTCATAGGGTTGCTATGAGTTGCCTATGACTCGACAGCACTTAACAGCAACAACAATTCAGATTAAGGCTCAAATCTATGTTTCAAACTAGAATGAAATGGAAATTATCTAAGTTTAAGAAATAGGTCCCAATATTCCCCGGTTGGCATTCAGGACAAAGATAACATGTTTGCTTAGAACCCTAGCAGTCTCAATATTCAGAAGCCATCATAATTCTACATGCAATGACTGTTTTCCCCCAAAACACATTTTTCTTTAGTTATTCTAGTCCTTTTACACAAAGAAATGAATATCTTGTACTCAAGAACTGCTGTTTTGTTTATGTAGAACTATAAAGAAACTTATATGATAGTAAACTAGCTTATTAATAAATATATGATTAATTTATTCTTTCATTTCCATAAAATGTATGAAGCATTTAGCAAGTTTCAGATACCATTTTTTGTGATGAATGGTGATGGACAAAAAGTTAAACTAAGAACAAATGCAGGTAAGAGACTGATTTGAATAAGTCTTTGTGACTGAGGATGGAAAAGCCTTGATCCAACAACCACATGGAAGAATAAGTTAAACATCTGGTATATTAACAATTAAGAAGAAGACTTTAAATTCCTATTAAATCTATCAATGAAAATTACTGGATTTGAACCTGAAATTTTTAAAAAAAAAAATCTATGTTTATAATTTAGATACGAAATAAACAGCAATAGAGAGAACATTACTATATAAAGTAGTATAATGTTTTCACTCTGACACTAAAAAGAACCCTGGGATATGTGTATGACATACCTTAGAAAGAAATAAAAAGGGTATTTAACAAAAATATATCCTTATGTATATACCTATGGGAAGAAATAACATATATATTAATATAGTTAAAATGCATGAAGGGGCCTGGGTGCCTTCATCCAAATACAAGCTCTGACTGTCATTAACTATGGGAAGCCAATACAAAATATTTGTAATATACTGAATGCTATTTCAGGATGTGTGGGAGGCACAGTTCAGGCTAAAGTTCACCCTGAAGCCCTAAGGCAATCCTTAAGGGTTTGCCAGATTCTTGCATTTGCTAACGCTTCCCTCCTGAGTCAAGAGGAAGGTTTTCAATAGAAAGAGCTTGGCTTCATTTGCATTGAATTCTCTTTGTGATTTACTTCCAGATAATTTTCAATAAAGATACAGAGAGGCTTGGCTTGAGGTCTTCAGTCGAGAACTGCTGGCTCCTAGTTTTTCAGGCTCTCTGCTCTATCTCATTCCTGGCCAGTTTTCTTTTATTAATAATTATAAAAATACTTTACCCTCGGTCTGCAACAATTAACTGTTTGATGGGCAAGCTGATGGGTTCAAATTACTGACCTCTTGATTAGCAGCCAAGTACTTAACTACTGCAGCACCTCTTCATTGTGTAAAACACCTGTTCAAGACTTCTCTTCATTGTGTAAAGGCCTGGTTAATTCCCCCCCCCCAATTCACTCACTCTCATTGCCATGGAATCAGAACCTCCTCATAGCTGACCGTCCATTGGGTTGCTGAAGCTACACATTGCAATGGAGTAGACAGTTCATCTTTAACCCTTGAAGCTGCTGGGGGTCTCTGGATTAGCAGTGAAACTTCCTAAGGTTAATGCCACCAGAGTCTCCTATTCGTGTCATCTCTGTTCAAACAGCACACACATTTTCAATGTGATATAAAATGCTAGCTGTTCAACATACGTATGATTTATGACTGTTCTTAGTCAATACATTTTGTGCTAATAACTGACAATGAGGTTAAAAAATATTTAATATACCTATCGGAGTCCATAAAAATATTATACATAGATATCAACTTAGAGTAGAATTCATTTTAGTGCATATTTATAATAACTTTCACTGATATACGAAATTCTTTATGATATTAAAAAACTGTGAACTATTGGATATAAGACTATTCTTGTTTTACTTTCTTTGCTAACAAGCGATATGGTTCATAACATTTCATGTATAAAAGCCAACGGGACTAATAAAAGAAAGAAGAAAAGTAAAAATGGTGAGCTGAGGGAGTGAACACTATTATCTTTTAAGACTTATCCAGAAATTGTTATAGAATACTTACTCTCCTATTAATGAGTCCTTCAGCAGAGGCTAACTTCATGAGTGGTCTATTCCTCAGGATATAGAGGAACATATCAATATAATTCAAATATATGTGAATTGTTTTCAGTGTATTTAGCTGCAAGTAACAAAAAAAATCTATCCTAGGGTGATTTTTAAAATGATAAAAAATCTATTCTTTCCTTTAATTAACATATATCCAAGAGAAATATCTCCCCTTTTCTGTGAGATTTCTTTTACAACATCTTTATGTTTTCATTCATCCTCAGGTTAGTGGCTAGATGGTTGCAGCTATACCCAAGCTTGTCTCTCAGACAGAACATTATACAGAGTCAGAGAGTGAATTTCTTCCTGCCAATCTCTTTTATAAGATTCAAAAGACTTTTCTCTCAAATCCTGTGGCAATCTCGCCATGATTCTCACTTGTCAGCACTGTATGATATTTTATGAACATCACTTAATAAATCCAGCCAAAACATGCTACTGTTTCCCTAGGGAGTACTGCTTTGGGCTTACACAAAGCAAGATCCAGTCCCTGGGGTAAAAGATTATACAGAAGAAGGGGAAAAGTTGAACA